CATTTATACCACACATAATCGATCTTTGACATAGCAGTTACTTTACCACAACAAAGTAATGCGATTAAGATTTGGACTTTGTTTTGGAGTTATGAATCGAGCGTCAAAATAATTAAAAGTTGAACATGTTGAAGTGGTTTAGTTGCACAGAGCAATTTCACTGACAATGCCCAGTGTTACATTTAGCTATGAAAATCTGCTTTGTTTGTCTCTTTAACCTTTATGGCACTAGTCGGTTAAATTGATTTTATCCTTAATCAAATTTAAGGAAACTTTATTCATAAATCATTTTTTTCTGTCTAAGGAATTTGTTGTCGAAGTAAATTCTGGTTTATTTTGCCTTTAAGTTTCGACAAATCACCAGATTAACATGATCGTCTGCGATTACGAACAAGGTCTTGCGTACGAAAAATCTTGAAAAAATTGTTGCCCAATTTTTACATTAAACTTAAATGAAAAATTATCCTACCTTCTGGACTTTACTTTAACCATCTTGTTGACCATCCCGAAATTCTAAAGGTTGTGACGAATTTCGACTTTGTAAAAGGCTGTCAGCAAAGGAAGGAAATTTCACAATGTTCAAAACTAACGAGATACAAGGAAAGTGTAATCTAGCGAGCCTTCCGCCATCGCTAATAAATGTTTGCTCAAATGCACTAAAACCCTAAATTGAGTAAACTTATATGTCAGTCACAAACCGCTGATGTCAGAGTTCAGTTCGTCACCAGCTGTTTCGAGAAAGGTCTTGAAGAAGCCCGCCGCTTGTAATTATACCTCATTATCTTTCTTTAAAGGTTTAAAAAGAAGAAAACAAAACCTGCTAATATAACGCAACTACAAAGTGCATAATTTCAAACGTTCCCGTCAAATTTCAGACGTTTCTCGATGATTTCGGAGGTGCCTTCAGATTTCAGGCTTAGATAAGGTCTTATTTTTGACGGTTCAGCCATAATTCAAATGGTTCCTATTCTTTAAATGCAGAAGTTCTCATGGTGTGCGAAATGCGCGAAAACTGACGTTATTTCGCACGGTTTATGGCAGACGACAACACTCGATTGGTCAACGCACCATAATGTCGACGTCCTTGTATATTCCAGACAACCGTGGATTTTTAACTCGAATGCGTTAGAACGTCACCAATTTTTCCACGAAATGCAAGGGAAGAATTGATGGAACCGTCTTAACTTAATCTTCCACGAGACTTGCGTTCATTTCTGAATTGACAGAAGCACCTCATCAAAGTTTTTATACGCGTTCGTCAACGCTGTTTTGTTTAATCCTTGAGGTGATTGTTGGTATCCCTGACCAGAAAGATTTCCAGTGGAAATCATCCTTATGCAAGCTATGGTATTTGATTGCAAATTAAGGACTTGGTGGCTGTAGGCTTAGATGCAAACTGTGTTTTATCTTGAATGTCAATATACCGTGTGATTAACAAAAATGGGCGACAGCAGCTTTTGAAGGTGCAATTCTTCGTAAGTAATAAATTCATTATTGACTGAGTTTTTTTGGTCAATGACACGAGTTTATTGAACTCATTTGAAGTGCAGCGTCTGAACTGGCCCTAGTTCTCCTTCAAATTATTTATATTTTAAATATTATACTTATATAATTTATATTAAAGCAGCGAATATGATTTGCAGTTTTAAAGATAAGTTAATTCTCCCATTTATTTTCCCTTTGTCAACAGGAAGGATGTTTGTGAAAAGGATTTGTAATGGAATAATCTGACATGTTTCAATTCAGTAAAATTTAATTTGTGAATTTCTTGCTTTTCCTGTTTTACCTAACAAAAGAGTGAGATTTGAAATGCAAATAATTATACATGCGGGCTTTGGTTAAGTAATTAATTGCTAGGTTAGCGGTATCCTTTTATCAGATTCCTATACGATCTCCCACGTGAAGTGGTTACACCTTTGCCTCCACTATAAGAAAAGTCTATATCAAATGATGACGCTGAGCGCGTTTGAAGAATCGTCTTCAATTGCCATTGCCCGTACTTATCATTTAGTTGATTTGACTGAGTAGTTTTATGTTCTCATATACGTTAGTTTTTGCCTTTCCGCGGTACTTCTTCTGTAATAGTTTAATTTGCATGGCAAAAGCGAAAAGATGGACAAAAAATCGAAACAGCTAATAATTATTCAGCTATGGGCGACGGTTTGCACTGAAGATGTATTGGGCTCTCTTCGGCCAAGATATTGGAAAATAATTCAATATGAATAAAATAAATAAGAAGATATCTAGATATGCCTCTCAAATTAGAAGATATCTGACGAAGGCCTAGCACTCGAAAATCAGCTTTGAAGTGCTTAACGGTCGCCAATTTACGTTTTCAACTCAGTTGATGATACCAAATTGCCAAGATATTTTTTTACCATGTTTGCAAATGTAAGGCTTTCTATTGCAGCTGTGAGCAGCTACATTATTGGCTCACACTGGCGTTTTCTTCTGTACGAATCTAAAATGCTTGTTTAAATTTAAGTCTTCATAACTAATTCAAGTAAGATAAAAGGAATTAAAAGTTGAAGCCTAAAAGCGGGGACCCCTAAGATGAAAGATTGAGGCAGTACAACTGAAATAAAGAGAAAGTAAATGGAAGAGATGGTGCAGCGGAGGTACAAATGAAGTTAAAACTGTTTGATGTAAATATTTTGAAAAGGTGAGTAGGGTCGAAAGTGGATCTTGAACGATATATTTATAATCGGACATTTAAATGATGCCATCATCACTACATTCATGGTTTTAGATATTGAGAAGGTAAGTTGGTTTATCATTCTATTTTCAGGGCACGTTTCCCGTCATTTTGTCTCAGTTCACCAAGTGTTCTCGTAATGTTGGCCACTGACTTAACTCCTGTCCCTTAAGAAAGGATGCTAAATTTTTTCACTACGCACAGTGAAATATTGCAACTGAGACCATTAATACGGATGTAATTACTTTTCCTTAGAAATCGATAGCAGAAAGTTTGATTTTTTTATTCGTATTTTCCATTTTCACCGATTTCTCACTCAACGGACAACATTGTTAATAAAAAGGACACCTATTATACAGTTACTGTTAAATACTTCATTTTATTTTTCGATCTACCTAGGTACATTATATATTTCTTCTCATTTTAAAACGCCTGGGTCACTCGAAAGTCTCATTTTCAAGTTAAGCGTTCAAAATATGTACCCAGAATAGGCACCTCAAAATGACTGCTACGGCAAAGCTTTAACATAAGTTTAACCAGATTTTAGACGGATGCGAGCATAAAAAACTTAAAATGCACGAATATCGTTTAAAGGTCTTGATGCTGATACAGAAAGTAACCTTTCAAATTATATTTCGAAGATCATCCTTTTTTCCTGAACGTCTAACTTCAGCAGGTATATAAATGAAATGTTCTGTTTTAACCCATAGAGAGGAGCAGGAATAAATGAAGAAACCTCCTGTGCCTCAAAAAGAGTTTGGTAGAGAAAGTTGCTTTGGATAAGCACGGTCTAGCTATGAATAGTTATAGTCCTTGCTCTCTATAGGTCAGTTCAGTTTGTTATTTGTCAGCGTACCATTAATTTGTAACATAGCTAGTAAATTTGTGTAATCAAATTTAATTAGGCGAGCATGTTTCAGCAAACAAATACCTCTAGAAAAAAAAGTTTTTTCATATATACATGGTGAGGTACTCACTGAAAGGGTGCAAAACACAGTATTGGTGATAATCCATTCAAAGGCGCGTGCCGTATTTTGCACGTGTGGAGAAAACGACACGTCCAATCAGGAGCCGCTTTTCATGCTTTTTGAAGTGTGAACCATAACAATGGGATTCTCATTCATGCTTCTTTGGCAGCGTTTAACTTCTCAACTGTTTGCAAAATTGTACAAATTATCTCGCTGACGAACTGTTTTCAAAGTTGAATTCCTCGAGAAAATGAGTAAGAAAAGATCTGGGTGAGATTTCCGCTCTGCCTCATACTATTGTAAAACAAAGCTTTGGTCCCAATGGTAATCTGTTGTTTTTGCTATTGTTTCTTTTATCCAATAACTGTATGCACAACGAAATATAGGGCAGTTTGGAAATCATAAAAATATTTGTCGCTTTTGAAAATTCAACGGAATTTTTTCGAAGGCATGGAGAAAAGAAACAAGAAAAGCAAAGACAAGGTGAGATGAGCAACCATTCGAAGAATGTCTGAGAGATGAAAGAGCGTAAGTACACATGATTGAAGAAGTAATTTGCGGAGTTAATCACCTTGTTAGACGTAACTTGGAGAAGATTATTAACCCACAGAATACGCCATAGGAAGTCTGTCCGAATGGTATTTACACACTGTTTGGTTATTATCAGAAATCTCAATCGCTCGTCACTGATTTCTGATACTTACCGATTCGTGCATAAATACCATACGAAAAGATTTTCTGTGAAGTATCCTACAAATCCGCCATTCCAAAATTCGTCCAGTTTAGCTGCGAGTTTCAAAGTTTACAAGATGGTTTTCGATGGTTTTTTTTATCGTTCCATCACGATTGAGACAGTCCTTTTTGAGATCAGAATGAAAATTAAATATTGAAAGGAAACGATTTGGAAAACAATAGGCATTTAAGCCTTAAAAGCGACCACATCAGCTTTCGAGTTAACGATGCTTTGATTCAAAAACGCGATACGAATTATGGCTAGTAAATGAAAACTGAACTTGTTGACTTTAAGTGAGGCATTGCTTATTTTGGACCGTTCTTTGGACCGGTATAAATTTTGTAATGTTCCTCATTGTTGAACAGAATATTTTGTTTCAAAAACAGGGAACATCCATACACAACGTATATGTATCATTCCTTTTCAGTTCTCTTTTTATCACTTACCTCTCAGTTACACTTTCATTCAGAAACGTCATGCTTTATTCCAAGCAATAATTAAAAGTATATGTAAATACCGAGTTTTTTTTATAGCGACAGTCAACAGTTGGGCCAAAGGCGAGGTGTTTTGTTTCACTAGAATCTTTCTTAATAGTTAAGGCTCAAGTATATTAAATTTACTAACATAATGATAAGTAATTTTTAGAGTGTGAAGGTTTATTCAGTGACAATGACACAACCTATGTTATCCACTGCTATGTAGCTGGTCAACAGAAATCTAACTCTTGTGATACCTGTGCAGTACAGAGATGTCGCATTATAAATAATGATCCTTTTCAGGAGATCCTTTGCGAGTCCCATTTTGGTGTTTCTTTTCATCAGGTGAGCGTTCTCCGATATACTCGGAAATCTTATTGTTATTCGTTCCTGAAAAGTCACCTTTTAAGTTGGTAGTCTAGATATTTATCCGCTGTTCGTGAAATGAGCCCACGCTCTTCCCCGTAGAGAGGGAGAAGGACGAAGACAAGATTCAAGCGGACGGCGAAAATTGAGCCCTTTAAATTTACGGAGAGAAAATTCGAACAAGATTTGGTCAATGAATTGCACAAGAGCAGAACTAAGATATAAAAAATAGACATGAAGTACAATATATAATAATCTCCCCAAAGAATTTCCGTTAAGACCAATTGTCTGTTATATTGTAGTCTTTTTGCACTAAAAATCTCAACCGTACAATGTTCATAAGTTTCTTTGCTTAGTTCCGTCCTTGATCTGAACAAATCAGCGGTGATCTCGTCTTTTGTAATTTATGGCTAATGAATGAACTAAGCAGGAAGTCCATCGATCTCTGAAGTCTTTAAACCAACTGCAACTTGAAAAGCCTATTTTTCACGAAGGTAGAGAAACCCTGAATTCAACTTTAGAGGCTTTAGACACCTTTTTTTCATCCACAGATGGAAGAGTTTCAGGATTCTCTTCTCGCTCTCTTTTCTGCTTTTTCTCGAGTGTTCCAACAGTCCACGTCATTCATCACGTCTAATTTATCAACGTAATAATGACTTTACCGTCTCCTTCATTGACTCCACTCTCATTAGTTTGAAATGTCCCGTTGTTTATGGAGCCCCCACCACCCGCAGTTCCAGAGGAAGGATGGTTCCCCTCAACTCCACCGCCGGAATATCCACCACCTCCTCCAGGTAGGAGGTGTCCATAACCCCCTCCGCCAAATCCTCCTTTTGAGAAGTCTACGTTAGCACTGATTCCTCCTTTTCTGAAGCTCATAGCCATTCCGTCCTTGCCTTCACCATCTCCCCAGATTCCTGCTCCAGTTCCAGCCATCAAGTCAGGATTCGAAAGTCTTCCCCCTGAGCCAGCCTTGCCTCCATGCCTCGAACCTTCCCGACCAGCCTGCCCAGGGTCCCCGTCATTTGAAACTGGGGCTCCCCCTCCTCCACCTGCCACGACCAGAGGCGAATTGTCCATGAATGTAACAAAAGTGCCCCCGCCACCGCCTCCGGGAGAACTATTGTCTTTTCGACCTACTTGCCCTTTTTGTCCTACTAATATTTTTAACTGCTGGCCTCGCTTGAGTTTAAAAGAACCAGTGATTTTTGCACCCAGTCCTCCAAGTCTCCACCCCGAACATGAATTGTCACATGTACCATTTGCACCTGAGGCGCCAAATGCCTCGATGTAATAAGTTCCTGTGTGAGGAACTGTCCATTCTTGAGTTCCACTTTTGAGTCTCACATGACCCTCTAGCGTTGTGCCTAAGTACCCTGATGTGTTAGTTGGTCCAGTCGGTCCTTGCGCGCCTAGCGTAGTAAAAACAAACTTGATGATAGGCACTATTATCAAGCTGCCGTGAAGAAAGCTCTCTTTCGACACTAAGTCTTTGGGTTTTGATGATGAATTATTCAGCTCGCAAAGGTTGGAATCTTTACCGAAGTTAAAAGATCGACATCCTGGTTTCGATAAACAGTCGTGTGCACATAAAGTGATTCCATCAACATAGTGAACTGTTATTACGTGACCTAATAAAACTTTATCATCCCAGATAGTTAGATATGAGGAACGGAAGTTATTGTCGGTGCTGTAACACTGAACAAATGATGCAATCACCAAGATCAAAACTGGAAATATGCCAAGCATTCTGTGTCCCTGTAAAATAATTCGATGATTTGTTAAAATTAATCTCGCCGAAAAAGAAATTACCCTGTCCTTTACTCTGATCCCTTATGGCTGCGTTTATGGTCTCCTAACCTGCTACGGAAACTTTTGTATCCTTCTTAAGTTGCACTGAACTTATATTAACAACTAAAACTTTAGAAAACTGTTGTTTACTTCCTATTGCTTCGGAAATAAGGAATTCTTATTGGGGTGTCAGTAGATTCTGAGTTGTTAAAATCCCTCTTACATTTCTCAAGTAAATTATAAGCTTATAAGTGCAAGTGTTAGTCCATTGCATATTTTTTCTTAAAATTGGTAACATTTCTAAAGAGTTGTTTTAAAAAGAGGTTTAACTTTTAGTTGTCACAACACAAGCTCGAGATGCTACACACGAGAGCTTTAGGAATGGTCCTCCTGCCGGTCTGGCGCGCTTGAAAGGTTGCGTGGGGAAGGTAAAACTGAGTTAGTCAGGAGTTGACATGGTTATGAATTCAAAGAATATTTCATTTCGCAAGCTTTTGGGAAAACTTCTGCGACTCAAAGTAAACATCTTATTTATGTCTCACATAATAGATTATAAACAGTTTGTTTGAGGTTTTTCATATAGAACAACGTCATGAAGTTAGCCGAGAGTTTTCTAAAAACTGATTTGTCCTAAAGTTATAGAAAAAAATTTCGGCTTTTGGCCAACGCCGGGTCGTATGGTATTTCAGTTCAAACTATCATACGAATAGAATACTTTTGTCAGTTGAATCTCAATTTGCTACAAGTATTAGTCCCGCTGTTTTACTGTAGACGCAATGCTGAATTCATTTTTCAGCTCTCCCTCGTGATTTTCTGAGTTGGAGAGTTAAACTTGTTTTTTTTCGAGGCGACTAAAATGCAGGAAATTTTTATGCTAATTCGTATGTAAATTGATATCACTGGTCCTGTTTGATTACAAGGTGTAACTTGGCAAGCGAGTGAAACTGAGTGTTCCTCTCATATCGTTTTGTGATCGGAATGGAATAATTCCTTTTTTAAGTAGTCGAAAGATCCTCGAAGTTAAACAAACAAGTTTTTAAATGGTAATTTCGCAGTCAATACAACCAAAATTTAGCACCTCTTTTATCCGTAAGTCTTTAGGTAAAATGTTATGGTTCAGATTCATTGCAAAATATAATGAATTAAATGAGTCGTGATGTCAAAAATGAGTTAAATCAATTTGCAATCAAATTGGAATATATTTTTTTCACGAGTAAGTGAAAGATCTGATTGATATTCAGGAATACATCAGTATCAATCATAATATAAAGAAGAACCCCCAAAAAACAAAATGTTCAGTTATATGTTCAGCAGCCGCCTAGCCGATCACAAAAGATATTTTCACAACTTTAAATTCTAATTGAATTTTCCTTTGCTGTCACAAAGGATAGATTAAAATGTCAGTCATTTGTGGATTCATGATTTCGTGTGTTTTCTTACTCGTTGAATTAAACTTCCTCCCTGTCCGCTGAATGTGACGAAAATAAACAGTTCTAAGCTTTCAAGGTATTTGCAAATACACCTTACGCTCAAATTAAATACAAAAATAGAAACTTTATTAAAAATTGACGAATACGTCGACTCAGTACTTAACTGCACTCGGCATGGGTTAAAAGAAGGGTTAACCTGTTGCAAAGGCTTGAAATTGCCAACCTAGCCTTTCCTAGACTTTTAGAATTAAAACTGCGTCCAAAAAACTTACTTAAATATAGTTTTCGTGCTATAGTCGGTCTCCAACAAATCTTTGTTCTCTTGATTTGGTATTGGATAAAACCAAGAAAAACAATAGTGTCTATTGATATATAATATATTTCACTTACAATTAGTCAAATATCTAGGTATTGTAATTCATCGAACTCACGCTAAAACGAACTACAGAAATAATGCAAGGTTCAAAGTTTAGTTCCGTGTTATCACTTCCTTCTTCCAATGTCATCTGGCGGGAGGAGTGCTTTCCTACTTGGAATTATTGCGAGGCCGCAACACTTCGATCTCCAGGCAAACGAAATATTGGCTACTCAATGAAAAGACCATAATAATGAAAACGTTTCTAAATCGTATTCCCGATTTACTCACCGTATCAGGCATTATTCACACGGGAAATTAAGGAATAGTAGAGTGGTTCAGTTGTCGCGCAGAAACATCATGATCATCGTAAAGAAGAATTATCAACCAGATGCTCCGGTCGTAGTCAGATATCGTCTGTTTACTTGCGGAGGCCACTTCTCATTGGTTAAGAGGCTTGACGTTTTTGACGGAGAACTTAACGGCATTCATTGTTAAAGGCGCTTGTGCAAATAATTTCGGGGGTAGGATCGTCATATTCACCAGTTGTCGGGAATGTGTGTGATCCGAAGTCCCCGCTCTTCAAGGTCCAACAACGTTAATCAACTGAAGAATGAAGGGAAAATAGCACTAAGTAGCAACCTTTGTTACTGATTCCATGCTAGAGATAATGGCATAATTGTTTGAAATAATAAAAAGGAAGCCACGACTTTTCGTGAAAATTATTAAGGCTCTACTTGGTAAATATTGATTCGAGTGTGTCGGAGAAATTGAAAAAATTAATATCACGTTGTCGACTCAAATTTCAATTTTAAAAATCTGTCTCCCTGGTTTTTTTTTTTAGTCAAAAGACTAGGTCAGTGTTTTTCTATATTACGAAAGCTGGTTATTCGCTTGTAAAGCTGGTAAACCTTGCCAAACTTGTTCACTCGAAGACAGTTAATTAAAACCACAAATTATAGATAGCTTTGAACTGACTTCCCTGAATGCCAAAGTTTACCTTTAAATTCTTCTTTTTAATTAATTTCTTCCTGACGTCAAAAACTACAGCTTTTAATCTGCTTTGGCAAGAGAACTGCGTTTGGCAGGATGTTGTCAACACTCACAATGGTATGAAGCTAGATTTAGAGATAGAGAGTGATCCTGATGTAGATGTTTACTCAAAATGTAACAACAAAAAGATGAAAGGTTGCACGTACGAATTTATTTTCCTTCATCGGAGAGTAGTTGAACTGTTTACAAAATATTTGCACTGACTTATAATAAAGTTGAAAAACAACACATTGTTATTAAATAAAACGTGGTTCTGTCTCAACTTCCATGGGGATGACTGGTCGCGTTACATGATCTTGATTTACAAACAACAAAAACTTATCAAGAATTAAAAAATTAATTTAATTTCAAACTGACAATTTTAGTGCCATACAACACGTTTTAAAGACAGTGAATTTTGATTGAATCGCTTGGTTAGGAAAAGTGGATCTATCCTGCTCGTCATGTTACTGACGGACTAACATTTGGTTGTTTATCAGCGAAAAGGAAAAAAAATAGACGCTGCCAGCTGTAAAGCAAAACAATTAAGGGTTAAATCAGCTATACAAAATGTACAAACTTAGCAATGTAACAGCCATATTGTAGAAATTAAAACTACGCATCAACATTTGATCATATTCTGTTAATAGTAAGGGATTACTTTACTGTGAAAGTAGCCTTGGTCGAGTACAGTAAAGGATTTTCCTTTTTCATAAATAACAGCCTCGTTATTTGAAATGGACTATTAAACCACCATATTTTGTTTCAGTCAACATGGTTAACTTTTCATAGCGGTTTATTTTCCTGGGATGTTTTCTTCACAGGCGATGTCGTGATATTTTTTGTTTCCATTTATGGCATTGAAGTCATCAAAAACATAGAATTGGTTGTTTTTGTCTGTTTTTTTTTTGTTACGGTAGAAAATGCTAGTAGAAGAAAATAACAACTTTACAGAACTTTTTCGGTGTTATATCGAATGACAATTTGAAAATTGTGAATAATTACAGAAATTAGCATTGTATCACCAACCAATTGCACCAATAGCGAAAAATTGTCGATTAATTAGTTAAGATTGTACAATCAAGTTTTAGTCTCCAAAACAAATTTGGCAGAGCGGCAAACCCTTTGACTCAATTTATTACCCTGTTTTGCGCGCTAACTAAGGTTTCCATAACCGGAAGAAAATGCGTCAAAGGCTGTCATGACGTCTCCGCTGGTTAAAGAACGAAGTTGAAAATTTTTTTATGAAATGGTAGCAAAAATAGACATTTTTCAATTTGGCCATGTTGCTTTGTTCGTGTTTTTTTGCCGCGAATTATGAAAAAACTTTCCAAAAAATCCGAGAAAAAAATGTTGATCACAATCCTCTGAGATAAGTAATTGAAACATTTTACAAGATTTCAAGCGGATATTTGATAACTTTTTTCTTCCAGAGATCTTTCAGTGACACCTGAAAACGCTTAAAGATGATCGTAGCGTTTTACTTCGAGTTATTGTTTTTCGGCAAAGAACTGTTTGTTACGATGTACGTCATACTTGAACTTGGGCACTCCCCTCAGTGTTTGTCCGGAGGTCTATTGACGTCATCATCCTTGTGTTCCTTAGTATGGCTTCTGTTTGGATTCAGCTGCAATTACTCGATCAAAAAAACATATCAGTTCTAGCAATGGAATGATTAATTTCGAGAACTTGAACTCAGAGAAGGAGATTAAATCGTGTGTTATTGTTAAATTACAGGCGTATTTGTTGGTTTGTTTGTTGGTTTTTGTTCTCTTCAGAAGCGACTCGTTCGTCTGTCGAGGTGTTAGCTTTACAGGCACGTGTTTTTTTCTCCTCCCTTTTTAAAGGGCAGCCTTATTACGTCAGAATAAAAGGTACTGCGTCCTTGAATGGCTTGTTTTCAATAATTTCTATTCAGTGATAATCATGAAGATAAAATATTTTTTATGCCATTTTTACTGATCCAAGCCGGTCACTTCTTGGGCAGTGGTGACATTTCGCTCTTCAAAAGCGATGTGGACCCGGATTACAAAGCAATTTAAGGTAGGATATAAAAATGAATTGTTATCGATTTTTTTTCAAGGAGGCTTAAAGATACATAAATGATTTGACAGAGAAGGTTTTGCTTGATACTAGACTTAGAAATTCATTGTATCACAGTCGAGCAGTATCAAATTTGACATGATTCTGCTCGTTCTCACACAAAAGTTATTTGGAGATTAGATGGCGTTTCGCACGTTTTAGGGTCTGTTCGCTGTAAGGTAAGGTACTCAGCTGAACGAAATTGCTTGGGAGGGCCAATTATTCATGAATTTTTCGTAGACGAGGCATCAAGAGGCTAGGAAATATGGTGCAGTTGCCTGGAACACCCAAGGCAATCTCCTACTAAAATTGATTACAAGGCCGATTATCGTGATGTATAAAATATTTTGCTAAGCCTGTCGTGGTGATACAAGGAATATAGCTAAAAAACCTTACGGCTTGTTACCAATCCGGAAAGTTGTTCCGGCATATTTAAGCTAACAGCGACACAACAACACTGACAGTGAAACTAAAACGCAGAAAATCTGGTGAATCTCGGACCAACAATGGCTCAAAGTGATGAAATGTACGGTTTTAATACGATTGCTGTCTAAAAAAGAAGAGAACATCCCACTGATAGAAAGAAAAGTCTACTTCTGAGAATGCAAGAAGGCTTAGACGGGTCTCGAACTCCTCGTATCCGGGGCAACCTCCCTCCTTGAAGCAATGACGCTAATAGAGCACTATTCCATCACATTTACTTTAAAGACCCGTTTTGGGATTGAAGGAATTCGAAAGTTTACAGATTCTGTCCATTAAAAAGCCTCTCAATCTAACCACTGTGTTGTTTTCCGTGCAGATCAATAGATATATAGTAAGGGATTTCGATAAACGAGGGTTGTTCTTGAGTTTTAGTACTGATTGAGTTCAGAAAAAAATAGCATTACGTCAGAGGATGGAAACAAGAAAGAGTTTTTTGCGCGTTGTACAGACATTTTATCAATACTGTCGCAAACTGAAGTAGCCATTTTGTGGTCAGCCAGTATTGAGCTCGATTCGAGGTATTCAGTCTGCTTTGGTTGAACTCTCGAATTAGGTTTCCTGGCTCTTAAATGTGCCGCAACTTTGTTACTAGTAGTTGTTCTCCTTCTACCGAGACCAGTTCTTATGCAGGGTGTCTTCCTTTGTCCTTTGATCTTTGCGCATTGTTTACGCCATGGGGAGCAAGGTTTATACAATCCTTTTCTTTTTTGTCTGATCACCCACAGTCGATTTCTGGTGACTCGAACCAAAACCAATTTCACAGCTTTTTTTCATGGCCACTGTATTACGGCTGCATTAAGCGTCGGTAACTGAGAACACCGATCAATTGAAAATGCCACTAACTCGCGGTGATTCTTTCCAGTCGCTTTCTTTATAATATTTCTCCCCTTAAAGTTAACTTCAACCCCTTTGTGTAATACTATGTAGTGTCTTTACAGTTTTTAGTTCATTTTGTGCATGAGCATAATATCGCTCCTTTCAACCTTCTCAAGTTTTAACACGCTGTTCCAACAATTAATTCTTCCCATCCTCCTTTGAGCAACTTCGAGTTATCGGCGTAACTAACCTCCACCTTGCAACCTGGTGTTATCACTCGTAGTTCCTCTGATCTTTAGGTGAAGACCTCGGTGCTTCGCACTTCGTTGGCTATTTACAGTCTCATATCCAACGTGCACTCATGTAATAATCGTTCATAGTTATATAGCTGACAGCGCCCGTGAGCAATTTGAAGCGAATCCTGTGTTCTGATTGGCTACCCGGTCCATCTTGCAGGCTCGGAATTTCCCGCTATGATTCCGCGCTGGAAAAAAGTGCGTGGAGCGGACTCACAAAGTTCGTATCTTTCAGAAAATACAGGCGAAGAAGGCGTAAAAAGTGGCAAAAACAAAGAAAAACTAAACGACCCTCGTGTATTAATTGTGTTACAAACACAGTTGGCCTTCTTTCCCGGCTCTCTGAGATCTGAAACAAGTCATTCTTGATTCTCATGAAAGCGAAATCTTTTTTCCAATACAATAAATGCTTTATTGATCAAGCTTGTTCGGTCAAGATGGCTGGATATTAGCCTCGTTTTGTTTTTGTGCTTTTAAGGAAACGTCTCGGTCCGCAAAAGGAACTCGGCCAAGATCCAGCCATCTTGACCAGTCAATGACGCACTTATATATGGCTTTCGGTCATAATATACGGACCTCATTACGCTCAGTTTTTACTTAATGAGCCCGAACCAAATATTTTCCTGTCCAGCTCTACTACTCGATCAATAAGC